TGTTCTAGGGAGAGGGGCTGTGGGTTGCTACCCAGACTTATCAAAGGCCCCCAAATGATTCTAGCTCTTTGTTAACCCTCTGTCTGCCCTGCTGAGCTCAGCCAGAGTGCTCCTGGTCATTCAGACCCCAGACCTTCTGGGTGTTCTTACATCTAACCTGGCACCTTCCAATTCCTAGCAAGTGGCAGGAACCCTACTTGGTGGAGAATGTGGGTATTCATGATGAATTTTGATGTAAGGATCAACACTTGTGTCCACTCTATAGATCATCACCAAATATCACTTTATTTAGAGGAAGTTGCACAAAGCCCACAGGCTCTCCCAGTATTTCACATTTACAAGTATCAATAGCAGAATGGAAACGTACATTACCAAAATCAAAAGTTCTGCTGGAATCCATTATTGCTCCCTGGTCTTTGTCAAGAATGTGTTTCAGAGCAGAGTCTCTTCCATTCAAGACCAGCTGGGACAGGGTTACATAGTTTATTGCCTTTCAACTTCGAAGACACATGCAATTAAGGTCATGTTTGTCTGTCATAGATCCAAGTCAAGTGTACCTTTCCAACAACAGAAAATGTGTGGCTTGATAATTAATTACAAATTCAATGAAAAGACGATATTCCTGGGGGATGTAGATTTCCCCAAAGAAGTTTGAGTATTATTGATAAATCAGACTATATTTTGTAAATTGAAAGAAAAGTGACCACAACACTTGGAACAACCAAGAGATCTTTATTGCAGCAGTGCAACAAAGAAAAAAGAAAGAAGGAGAGAAGTGGGAGGGGGGCAGCTGGGGAAGGCTTTTATAGCCCTCCTGCTGTACTGCCTAAATGTAATAGGGTCTCTGAGCTTGCAAGCTGCCTTGTTGGCACACAAGGGGGTTAAGTGTTTGGCCTTGAGCAGGGGTTGAAGCGCTCAGCCTTGAGAGAAGGCTTGGGTGTTTGGGCTTGAAGCAAACAGGTGATAAAGAATCAGACAGAGGGTTTGAGCGGCCAGGTCTTCCTGCAGCTACCTTTGTTTGGCATGTCCTGCACCTAATAGAAATGATCCTCAGAGCCAGGGAATTCCAAATGTCCTCTGTTGGTGGACCTTGGAACCAGCTGAGCTCGGACCACAGAAGGGAGAGCCCTTCCTAGGTTGGCCAGGTCTTACCACACTCTCTGCTGTGGATGCTGCTCTTACCTCCTCCTGATCTCTGTCTGATTTTGTGGACTTTCTCACTAGACATCTTGTAAAGAGTGCCTATCAAGACTCCACTGAGGTGTGGAGACACCAAAAGAGGCCTCACAGTGAGTTATGGGCTGTACGGGAAAGAACAGCACTCAGTGCTATTGCATGACCGCCAACATGATTCAATGAATCTTCTCCTATTTGGTGGATACAAGATCATATGAACGAGGTCAGAGCATTTCCCTGTGACAGTGGAGGCACAAGTCACGTGCCGATATCTCATCCACAACACTAAGGATCCATCTCTTGTTTTGATTGGGAGTATTGTCATAGCCATCTAGGAAGCCAGGAATCCTGGCCTCACCTGAAGCTGAGGGAGAATCCACATCTATAAAGACACACTGAGGCATGAGACTGCTCAGAAGGGATTCCTGACTTTTTGTGAGACTAGATTAAAATATTTTTTTCAAGTAGAAATGACCTTGATCTTGCTGCTCTTGAACCTTTTGGGGGTCAGTCAGATGACTCACGTAGTCATGAAGAGCATTGCACACTGACATCCAACTCCGAGAATTTGGGCAAATAAAAGAACTAGTACAAGGAATCTGAAATGACTTTGGAGCAGCAAAGTTATAGAAGGCACTATGACTGCCATTAGTGTATTCTTAAATTGAAGAAATATGGGGAAAAGTAAAAACAGTACACAAATAAGAAAGTGTATAGTTCAGAGAATAAAAAATGCCTAGAGAAACAAATATCCTTCCTAAAATCAGAAAAAAAAAGAGTATCCACACTAGTAATTTGAAACAGACTACAAATTCATTCCACTCAGAGTTGTTGAATTGTATATATACACTATAAATTATCATATTTCCTAATACTATATAAACATATATATGTAATTGGAAGTTGACCTTTTCCATAGGCAAGAGGTTTGGAAGGTTGTATGTACATCTCATGCATTTGTACAGGAGCGTGTCATTACTCAGCCACTCATGGCAAAAGGTCTATTCCCCCCAAACAGGGTTAGAAAACACAGAATTCCCCTAGGCCCGAAAATGGGCACCAAGCTCTTCCTCTGTGTGGCCTGCTGTCTCCTGTGGGCAGGTGAGTGCTGGCCATGGGGGCTTCCTTCTCCGGAATTCCAAGGCCTCAATCCAAGTCTTTCCATTGAGGTGACATAAACTTGTGTCCTTCTCTACTGCAGGACACATGGAGGCTAGAATCACCCAGAGCTCAAGACACATCATCACAGAGACAGGAGAAAAGGTGACTTTGAGATGCCACCAGACCGACAACCATGACTATATGTACTGGTATCCACAAGACCCAGGGCAAGGGCTGCAGCTGACCCATTACTCATATGGT